ATTGCTCGGGAACCTTAATTGCTCGAAAAACAAAAAAAGACAGTTCCCTTCCCATCTCTGACCTCCTTCCAACCCCTCGTTCCTCTTCCACGCACGCGATCTCGTCGTCAGCCTCGGATCAAGGAAAGAGATACTTACGCCGCCAATGGCACAAAGAGAGGTCGGATAAAGCGCGGATATTGCGACGCCAGTGCGAACGTGGGAATCCACGGCTGCTATCCGCTCAGCCTCATTAATGATGATGTGCTTGCCACCCAGTTGCAGTTCCATTCTCTCTCTTCCTCTTCCTCCCTCCCTCCCTCCTTCTCTCTCATACGCATACATCGACACCCTCCTACATATTTCAACGTGTGTACGCCTCTGTCTTTCTCCGTTGTTACTCCATCTCTTTCTCTCTCTCTCTCTTTCTCTCTCTTTCCTTTCTCGCGATGCCTTGACAAGAGAGAAGCTGACGCCCGGTTAGCCATCGCGTTCACTCTCTCTCGTTTCTCTATTCTCCCTCTCGCTCCCTCTCCCGCTAGATTCAACCCTCCTACAGGCCTCCTCTCGACCATTCCTCCCCAACCAGCCTGTACGAGCCACGAAATACAGCTCGTACATCTCGAACAGTACCACTCCCCCTCGACTCAATTCCGCGCAACCTGCGCGCACTCTTTTTCGCTCCCACCGTTAAGTTCTTGGGCGATATTAATAGGAAACCGGTGGAAGATCGAGGGAGAGGAAGGGAGGGGGTCGTAGTATCGCGAAAGATGATTTGTGATTCCTCGAGATGATCTTGGTTGAATCGTTGGGCTTCCGTTGCTTTTCCTCTTCGGGGATGGGGAGGAGGGGAAAGGAATGGGTCGATCACGAATGGGTGAACGAGAAACTTTGAGGTTTTATCGATGCGCAAATGAGGCGAGAGATCGTGGCAGGATCGTGGTGGAATTGCGGGCTCGAGTTTAATTTTCCACGAGGAAATTGAATTGTGATTCGATATATAGAGTTTAGAAATATGATCTTGTATAATTATTCTATCTATATGGAATTTTTATATAGATATATATATTTTAAATTTGAAATTTTCCAAAAATCTTATTCTTCTCGTTGAATGTTACGTAGTATCAAATGTTTGATACTTTTTTTTTTTTTAATATATTAAATTATGAATAAATCATTTCTAATAATTTTTCATCATCCTTCTTCATTTATCGTTATTTACAAAGATATTTAAAAGATATTGAATGATGTAAATGTTTTTATAGAACAGTAAAACGTGATAAACGATTGACTCTTTTAAAGTGTAATTTATCGTATTTAAAGGAATCTTCAACCCCGGGTTCAATCCTACGCGGGTCTTTTTTGCTTCCCCTATTAAGCACTTGAGTGGCATCAATAGAACCATTGAAGATGGTACTCCGGCATTAAGAGATCACTTGTGATTACATTGAAGGTGTATTTCATAAATCAATCATTCAGCTTCTTGTGTATTTGACATATACGAAAATTATACGTAAAAGAAAGAAAAAAATAATTTTCCATGTATTGAAATAAATTTCTTCTTTTTGAATTACGAATTTTCTCATTATTAATTATTTTTGAATTTTTATTTTAAAATACTTAACGATATATAAATTTAAAAAATATAAAATATATAAAGAAATGATTTTATTAAGGAAAAAATTGTAAAAAAATATTATAGAAAATCATTTAAAAAATTAAATGTTCAAAAAATAAAAATAACAAAATTCTTTATTATTAATATTTAGCGGTACAACATGAACGAGGTCCGAGAAAGCCGAAACAACCCCAACAACAATCTCCAATCGCGCCACCTTTACACAATGATCGATTACGGGCTGGCCTTAGCTCCCCTTATGTTCTGTTACATCAAAGGTGTGTATAAAGTTTTTTTTTAAAAGCTCTGCTAAATCTTTAAAATTTGTTGTATTTATATTTTTGAAATAAATGGCTTACACATTATCGACTTATACTATTTAAACAAAAAAATCTTATGAAAAAATGATTCAACTTTTTATTTTAAAATTAAAAGAATGAAAAATAATAATTAAATAATATTAATAATAAAATATGAACCATAATTTATTGTAAATGTACGAAATATTACGAAATCATGTTCTTAGTATTTACATTTAAATAACTCGAATAAAAGGACGCTAAGGATAATGTGTGCAGAAAGTTCAGGTGTGATCAAAGGTTTTCGCCTTATCCACGGCCAGTGGCATTAGTTCAGAAACCACCAGAAGATTCTTCGTCCCCGGCACCATTGGCTCTACCGCATTCTCCTTCGACCACGACTTTGTATTCAGCACCCTCGAGCGTCGCCCTAACGCCGCAACCACCCCTTCTTCAGATACTAATGTCTGCGGAACAGTGTCAAGTAAGTAATTCAAACTTTGCAAACTTTATAATCAGCAATCTGACAAATTTCACCGTTTTCACACGATGAAACTGATAAATTAAACGTAACTGATTGTGAACATACCATATTTTTATTTAGGATTTATTTTTAAAAAATTAATTTCGTTTAAAATTTTTTTGAATGTATTTTTAAATAAAATATTTTTTTCTTTTTACTGTGATACTACTAATTATTAAATCTATTTTATTTTTAAATATCTGTTCGTTTTTTATTTACAAGGAACTCGTATGGAATGCACCATTACAATCGGAAACAGAATATTCTTTAGAGCAAACAGAAGGTAGTCATAATTCTTCCGGAACTTTACCAAATCCCAATCCTACGCGAGAACTATTACAGGTAATTATATCAAATATAAAAAAAATTAAATAATATCGTATAATATTATCATTTATAATATTTTATCGCACATCAAAAATCAACTAAAAAAAATTTCAGGAAACTACTGCACGTTTATTATTCATGGCAGTAAGATGGGTTTGTTGCCTACCTCTATTCCAATCACTTTCGAAGAACGATCAATTATTATTACTCGAAGGTTCCTGGACACAACTTTTTCTTCTTCATCTAGCACAATGGTCCATATCTTGGAATATTACCGGCTTATTGGAGGATGAACAGGTACGAGCAAGATTACCGGACGAAGCTACAACAAATCAACAATTAATTACAATTCAGGTAATTATTCAAAATTATCATTTAAATGAAACATTTGTTCTTTCCATCGTAAAAAAATCAATTTACCTTATATATATATATATATATATATATATCATATATTTATTTTTAAATTTAATTATATTAAAAATCATATGGATAATATACCTATGTTTTAGGATACAATATGCCGTTTTAGGCAACTTTCACCAGATAGAAGTGAATGGGGATGTATGAAAGCAGTAGCACTGTTTACTCCAGGTAATAAAATTTTGATTTCTGGTAAAAAAAAAAATTATATATTTTTAAGAGTATGTAATAGAATTAATACAGCGAAAAAATATTTTAAATCTCTATTATCAATGATACGTTCTTTTCTCAGAAACAGAAGGTCTTCATGCCACTGAGTCGATCAAAATGTTACAAGATCAGGCTCAATGTATTTTAGGAGATTACACGAAATCCTGTTATCAACGACAACCAGGTAGAAGCGGGACATTAATGCACGTGGTTGGTCGTTTGACGTCTATTTTTCCAAAGTTGGTTGAACGTTTATTTTTTCACGAAACCATCGGCGAAATTCCTATTTCGCGTTTACTCGTTGACATGTACCAAATGAAAGGGCACACAAACTGAGATTTGTCAATAAATGGCAAAAAAATTGTGTGAAAATTCCCCGTGGATTTCCAAAACTCTTCCGATTCTTTAAACCAATTGTCATAGAGAACGGGATAAGTTTTCGAAACCTATAACCAAAGACTGCAAAACTATACGAAAGATTACTCGTCTTTTCGTAAAATTCATAAATAGATAGATTCTCACAACAGCTTCGTATGAAATGAATCGTGTTAAATTTATTGTTACACTAATATTTTCTTCTTTTCGTAAATTCGCTAAAAAGGAATTTGATTCGTGAATGTATTATATAAAGATAAGCTTCCATAAAAAATATATAAATATCCTATATTCATTTGTAAATATTCTGATAATCGAGACTTAATAATTATTTTATTTATTTCTTGTTTTTAATTTATATGTAATATTTAAAATTATTTATATAATATATTTTAAGCATATGTAGTATATTATTTTTCTATATATTACAAATATGATTGTTTTTTTTTTTATCTTTTTCTTGTAGATAATAGTCTAAGTGTTATTAATCGTAATTTAATAAAGTTATACTTTACATTTTAATATTTGATAAGTAATAATGTACAATTATTTTAATGTTACTTGTGATATGAATGTATTTGTTATCATTGTATTTAATATTCGCTAAAATTAATACATATTTGTTGTAAAAGAAAAATAAAATTTGATTTTATAGAATAGATATTGATATATAATATGTTTTATATATATATTATATGTATATCAGCATAAAAATGATTTATATGGATCCGTGAAAATGTGTGACGGATAACTGAAATGAAATTATAAAAAAGAAAATACTTACTATTAATGATGCTTTTTTTATTTCATTCCTTATATATAAAATTTATATTTTCACTTGGCATATTAATCTTTATATATATATTATCGTTATTAAATAAATATATTATTACGTATATGATATATCTAAACGATATTATAACACAGAATATTTTATAAATAGTTGAACCATTGTTATAATAAAAATATAACAATTATAAAATTGTAATTTTATCGAAACAAATAATTAGGTTAATATTATACGAAATAATACATTATTTTCATATTCCAAAAACATTCCAGAAAAGTATATTCTAAAATAATATGTTCATTTAAAATTATGAATCTCATGGAAATTTCTTATGGAAATATATGTTCAAAGAAACTATAAAAATTATTTTGAGTGCACTCTTATTGAATAAAGTAGTCTATGGTTTTCATCATAATCACTGCTTCCATTGAATTGAAAGCATGATTGTATATTCTAACCTAAGTTTTTAGATGAAATACTTTATTATTTTTTACTTAAAATAAAAAGAACAATGGGACATAGTAAAATATTTTTAAGAAATCGAGCATTAGGATATGTTTCTAATCATATTCCTCTCATCACGAGATATATTAAAAGACGAAAAGAAAATCTTATAGTAACGTGTACAGGTAATGCATTCCATACATATAGTTGTTCGCACTTTACACTTCTTAGTGTATCAGGAGTACATCCAGGTGAAATCACATGTCTTGCGGGAGATGTTTATCACGTTTATACAGCATGTGAAAATGAAATATACGCTTGGCGAAGAGGATCAGAAATAAAACATATCTACAAAGGTCATGATTGCACAGTGCATACTTTATTACCTTTTGGACCGCATTTAGTGTCTGTTGATGAAAATAGTAATGTTAAAATATGGGATATTAAAACAGAAGAGTTAATAACAGAACTTACTTTTAATAATACACATTTCAAAATTACAACACTAATGCATCCTAATACTTACATAAACAAAGTATTATTTGGAAGTGAACAAGGTCAATTACAATTATGGAATTTGAGAATTTTAAAATCAGTTTATACATTTAATGGTTGGAACACAGCAGTTACTGCACTTGAACAAGCACCGGCAATAGATGTTGTAGCAATTGGTTTAAATGATGGAAGAATTATATTGCATAATTTAAAATTTGATGAAAGTATTTTTGAATTAATGCAAGATTGGGGTTGTATAACATCCATTAGTTTTCGCACAGATGAACATCCAATTATGGCTACAGGAAGTTTAGATGGTCATATTGTATTTTGGAACTTAGAGCAACGTAAAGTAGAAAGTCAACTTCATAAAGCTCATTTTGGAGCTGTAACAGGATTAAAATATTTACCCAATGAACCACTCTTAGTATCATCTTCTCCTGATAATTCTTTAAAATTATGGATATTTGATTTAGCTGATGGAGCTGGAAGACTTTTAAGAATCAGAGAAGCTCATTCAGAACCTCCTACTATTATTCGTTTTTATGGCAATGAAGGTGAAAATATAATAACTGCTGGTAGTGATTCTTCTGTGAGATTATTTTCTACCATTTCAGAAATGTTAAATAAAAGTTTAGGAAGAGCATCTTTTAATAGAAAAGCTGCAAAAAAAAGAGGAAGAGCTGTTGAAGATCCTTTACAAATGCCACCAATTACTGAAATTGCTATGGAAGTAACAAGAGAAAAAGAATGGGATAACATTGTAGCAACACATTCTGGTTTGGGTACAGTTACTACATGGTCTTTTGATAAAACAAGAATGGGAGAATATAAATTATTTCCAGAAAAATTTAAAGGCAATCATAATATTACTGCAAGCAGTGTATGTTTAACAAAATGTGGAAATTTTGTTGTTATTGGATATAGTAATGGATATGTAGAAAGATTTAATATACAATCAGGAATCCATAGAGCTAGTTATGGTACTGATAAAGGAGCACATAAAGGTCCTGTAAAAGGTGTAATGGTAGATCCTTTGAATCAAGTTGTAATTACAGCTGGAAAAGATGCATATATAAAGTATTGGAATTTTAAACCAAAAATAGGTAAAAAAATGAATTATTTTTATATCATATATATTAAAAAGGATGTATGTGAAAATAATAAAATATAATAATTAATAATAATTAATATTTTAATTTTAAGGTGATACAGAATCACTAGCAAAAATGATACTAAATGAGCCAATTGAATGGATACGATATCATGATGAAAGTTCACTTATAGCTGTAGCATTGGAAGATTTTAGTATTGTATTAATAGATCTTGATACTAAAAAAATTGTTCGACGTTTTGAAGGACATAAAGGGCGCTTGACAGATGCATGTTTTAATCCTGATTCAAGATGGTTAATAACAGCATCTATGGATTGTACAATTTGTACATGGGATATTCCTTCTTCTAATTTAATAGATATTTTTCAGGTATATAAAAAATTAGTAAAACTCGATTTAATTTTAAAATATTATTAATTTACAAAAATTCGAAAATATTTAAATATAAGTCAAATATAATATTTTAGATTCCAGAAGCATGTACATCATTACATTTTTCCCCAACTGGAGAATTTCTTGCTACAACACATGTGTGTAATCTAGGTATATATTTATGGTCGAATCGCACTCTTTATTCCCATATTTCTTTAAAAGCAATAAATAAAGATGATCCGATTCCAATGATCGGACTTCCCAATTCGGTAATAGAAATTAATGATAGTAAAGAAGATGAACTTTCTGAACCAGAATTGGAGTATATTTCTCCAGAACAAATTCAGGATAATCTTATTACAATGTCTGGTTTAGCACACTCTAGATGGCAGAATCTATTAAATATAGATATTGTTAAAAAAAGAAACAAACCAAAAGAAGTACCTAAAACAGTGGAAAGTGCTCCTTTTTTCTTACCAACAATTCCATCATTAGAATTGAGATTTGATTTTTCGGATGTTACGAATACGGACACGAATAAAAAATTTATCGTCCATCCTGATTTTCAAAGTCTTACTGTATTTGGCAAATCTTTACTATCTGTAGAAAATAATAATTATCAAGAAATTATTGAAAAATTAAAATGTATGAGTCCAAGTTCTATCGATTTTGAAATTCAATCACTTTCAGCAGATGAAAAAACATTGACTATCTTATTACTTCATTTTATGAAAATGATTTATTATATGATAGAAAGAAAACGAGATTTTGAATTATCGCAAGCTTATTTAGCTGTATTTTTAAAATGGCATGGAACAACAATAACAGAAACTGAATCCTTAAGAAATTATTTAAACATATTACAAGAAGTACAATCCAAAACATGGTTAATATTAAGAGATAAATTGTTTTATAATCTTAGTGTTGTACAAATGTTAAAGAAAATGTAAAATTTTATTATAATAAAAATATAATTTTTTATAATATTTTTTATTATCGCAAAATATTTTTTTAAAATTTATAGAAAAGTCATAAATATTTGAAAAATAATTAATTTATTATAATATTTTATACATTTATTTCAGTACATTTAGAATTTAATTTACAGTAATTTTTTTTTAAAAAACATTGTACATCCATAAGTTACAAAGTTAAATAGAAAAAACTGCATTAATTATAAATACAATTCATGTATATAAATATAAAAAATAATCATATACTTTTGTAATATATTTTAATACCAAATGTATTTTAAGTGTAAGTAAAAAATATTTATAAATATGTATATACATTAAGGTTTTGTATTCAACAAAAAAAAAAATTTATTTCCTATATATAATTAAAAATTATTCTCTATAAGTGAGAAAACTGTATATTTGTTCCATTGTTCTGGTTTCTAATGCTAAATCTTGCATATAAATTTCAAAACTTGTAACAATTCTGTAAAGGCTTCGCTTTGTTGCAGCACGTAAAGAATAGAAGATTTGTTTAATAAATTTATCATCTCCATTTTGTTTTTTTGCCATAATATTCGATTTCTGTAATTTATCAAGAGCTTGTTTTAGCTCAAGTAAAGTGTTAATTATAAGTGGTAGATCTTTTTGGGCAATTCCATAAGTATCTTCAGTTAATGATACTACAGCTAAAGATGAAATTGCATCTGCAGCCCAAATTACCATTTGTCCATTGAATAAAATATGACACACTTTACCTCCTTCTATTTCCCCAAAAATGTAAGAAATAAGTGGTTTAGAAAGTAAATATGTCAAAAAATTGTTCCATTTTGTTTTTATAAATTTTTGAATGAATAATTCATCATCTTCTTTTTTTATGTCAGTTTGATCAGTAGGTAATTGTATTTCTTCTTTTACTAAATTGCGCATACGATATACATATTCTTTTTGAAATGTACTAACATGTGTTATTGTTGAACATGGAGCACATGGAGGTATTTCTTGTGGTTTAACATATGCTGCAGTAAGATCATCAGAAAATTTTTTAATGAGACCAATACATTTTTCTACAATACAATTCCAATTATAAGGGTGGCCTCCAGGTTGACTGAGTGTAAACAATATACTCCTTCTTGTCTTATCTTTTTGAACTATTGTAACTAAATCTAAATATCCTAGATGTTGCATTATTGGTACTTTATCTATAGACAATGCTTCAGAAAGTGTCATTCTAGATTCATCAATGTCAAATACATTGTTCTGTTTGAATTCAAAAAGAACCCATTCTGTCAAATATAATTCAAACAATAAATACATGCTATTAATTGCTAATACAAATATCAATTGATATAACCACAATTGAAAAATCAATGAAAAATTCAATAAATTAGAAATATTACTCAATGGTTCACTTTCTAATTGTGCAGATGATAAAAATAATATTGTACAACAACAATTATAACCTAAGAAATAATAAGCAATTAAATAATATAAAGTTGGCCATATACACTCAATCATCAATGATGGAAGTAAGGAGCATATTCCTGTTTTAAATCTTGAAAATTTTGATGAAAATATTATAGGAAATTTCAAATATTTCGTATGAAAGATACTAGTCTTTAAGAAAAAATATAATCCACTCCATAATCCACTTAGAAATAAAAAGTAATGTTCTTCCTTTAAACATGTTCCATAAACTATATTACATTCTGTCATTAAAAAACCATATCTACCTCCTTTGATTGATAAATGCATCCAAACAAGAAGGCCACCAATGATAATATGTAATGCACCCAGTAAAATATTTTGTGATGTAAATATTCCACAAAATTTATTAAACCTACTTTTTAAGTAAGGTGGTACATTTGAATAATTTTTGCTACAAATAACTCCTTGAAAAAATGTAACAGTACCAAGAACGCAGAAATAACTCCACATTCGAAAAGAGGTTATTGCTATCCATGTATTTTGAATCCATGATGTGTAATCCGTGTTTAAATTTGTAATTAAAAATAAAAGAGTCACAAGAAAGAATTGTACTGCTATACTGGAAATTATAGCTAAGAACATTCTTTGCATTAACAATTCTTTACATCCTTTTTTATTCATCTGCATCATTTTATTTACTTTTAATGGTTAACCTTTACTTTCTTGATAAAACTTCACAAATTGTGCAATTCAAAATTCTTTTCAATATATTGAATATATTGTTAATATAAATTTTTTTATTTTTAATAATATAATATTTATATATATATTTTCAACATTTTTTCAACATTTTAACTTTTCAAATCTGTATTGTCAAATTGTTAAATTGGAACGATATAAATCCGTACTTTTAAAAAGCCGGTATGTTATAAAATTTCCGTTGAATTTATTAAGCGCGCCATTACTATTGTTCTTATAGAACGAATATTAAAGTCGATATTTAATATAATTGTATTATATTAATTTATTATAATTGTTATATATATAAATATATAATAAAAGACAGACATATTTTATTTATAATAATTTTTATATTACATTACATATATTAAATATGTATATGTTTATTAAAAATATATATATGTTTATCAAGAAAGATACTAAAAAATATATAAAAATTCATAAAAAGTAATTTTAATGTTAATAAAAAAATTAATAAAATTTTAAGTATTAAATTAATTTAGTTTTTTTGAAAAAATTTTAATTGATCTTAATTAAATAATAAATTAATCAATTAATCATATGTATATATAATTGATAAATATAATAAAATTTAATATCTAACAATTTTCAATAAATTCTTTAGAATCGAATATATCATTGTAAAAATTATTTAAAAAATTATAACAGAATATTTCATTAACAAAAATTTATGAATGAACGTATATACGGTTGTCTTATAGTTTCCTTTCTATTTTGTATTCTATGATCTTAGTAAAGAAATGTAAGTCAAGTGCTTGATAAGTTTTCGAACTCGAAGAGAAACTATTCATTATTCAAAGAGGGTTGCCTTACTAGTAACATCTTTAATTAACCCGCATGTCATTTTCAATGCGCCTATTCATATAATATAAACAAAATGGTTTAGAATTTCGTAAAAATTAATTTTTATTATTTTATGGAGATTATAAGAATTTGCCGTCATGTGGAAGTGCCATAAATGCGGAAAACCAGTGTATTTCGGTTAGTTTCAATCAATCGTATATATTAAAAAGGCGTACTAATTTTGACAAGTACCATTTCCTGTCATTATGATGAATTGATTTATTTTTTATTTATATGAATATTATATTACTTATATATTTTATGTTAAAAAATCATTTTACAATTATTTTTTTATATTTCAATTGAATTTTCCGCTTTTAATTAAAAAATTATTTTTACAATTAAAAAAGTAATTGTTTATTGTCGTAATATATGATTTAATATTTGAAATTTTTAAACAATCATATAAATAAAAACAAAAATTTATATACTAATTTAAATAAATATTTTAATTTGTTAAAATTAAATCAATAATTTATAATTTAAAAATAAAACACATGTTGTATATATTTGTATATATTTATATAAATATTTATTATTTATTAAAAAAATATATTTATTAAAAAATTAATAGAATTATAATTTATCATAATGTTATATTTTTATATTATAAAATATAAAGTTTTTATGAATATGAAAATGGAATTAATGTACTTTATATAAATATTTATTGTTTTTAAAATATTTTAAAATTATTTTAAAATGTGTCTAGCTGAACGCAAACAATCATTGGGATATGACTGGCATCCAGAATGTTTAAGATGTGAAGAATGTGGAAAACGTTTAAATCCAGGCCAACATGCAGAGGTGCAACATTTTTTAATAAAATTATTAATAAAAAATTTTAACATTGTAAAAGAAAATTCATAATTTTTTTTTTATACTATTATAGCATAAAGGTGTACCATATTGTCATGTACCATGTTATGGTGCTTTATTTGGACCACAATTATTTGGTCACGGAACAAGAGTTGAATCACATACAAGTTTTGGAAAAAAAGAAATTCGACCATCATTGCCCAGGTATATAATTTAAAGTAAAATAATATATATTTTAATGTTTCATTAAATCAATTTTATAATGAATATTTATGATATTATAATTTTCTATTTCTAGATCACATTTAGAGTCAAAATTAAAGGTTTTCAATCAATATTATGAAGGCAAAAGTGGTGGAATAAGAAGCCGTGAAGTAAAGAAAATTTTTAATTTATTTTTATGAAAATATAAAATTAATAATATTAATTAATATTAATTCATAACAGGTTAATGGAAGATTGATATTGGAAGGTGCACTTCGTATTTATTGGGGTGTTAGAGGAGTGATTCATTTAAAAGAAGATGATGATCAGCGTACAGTAGTTACAGCTCGGAATAGAAATTCGTGTAGACGTAGTGTTTCCGATGTACGTATATTTTTATGTAAGAAGGAAGGAAGAAATATATATATATATTTATATTATATATATATATATCTATGTGAATGTAAATATATTAAATATTTTATTGCTATTTTGTAAATTTTTTTAATAGAGTATAGAAGATGAGGAAAAAGAGGAAGATTCTGTTAAAGAAACTTGTGAACAAGATACAGATACTGAAACAAAATCTATTCCAACTTCTCCTGATCATCTTAAGAGTCTCACTTTACCAATGAAATTAGATGTTAAAAATATGGAATGGGATGAATTGGATGAACTGCTTCAGGTTAAATATCGATAAATATTAGGATTTTTATATTTTTTATATTTTATTTATTTTAATTTTTTTTGTATTTTTCAGGTTGAACGTAAAGTTGAAGATGGAAAGAAGTTATATCAAACAATGCCCGAAAATTTGCCATCAATTAGTTCGCAAACTTCTGACACACAGCCTCTTTCTTCTCAATCCAGTCTTGATAGGTCTGATTCTCGAGAGAATTCAGAAATAGACAGTCCAAATCATCAAACTAATCGTGGTAATGATAGTAGCGTAACTAGTACACCCACGCACAGTATAGGTAGTTCTTCCGGTACTGATACACCTATTTACCATGGTACACCAAATCGAAATGGAACGCTTCGAAGGGTAGAATATTTCGATAATTTGGAGAAAAATATATCTAACAACAGATCTATTAGTACTGATGATAGTTGGATAGAAAAAGGCTTAAATCGATCAATGTCTGGTCCTGATTGTCTTCAAAGACATCGAACTGATAGCGATACAGATTCTGTAAATTCTTTACAATTTAGAGAGGATGATAATATGACAATGTCTACTGACAGTGGATTAGAGGTGCTTAGCAATTATAGTTTTGCAATTATTATTTTACTTATATTACATTATTCATAGATATTTATATATCTATATCATCTCAGTCACTATATTTATATTCATATAATATTTTTAGCTGGATGGCGTAGTTTTACGTCGAAAACAAGGATCCACTGCAATTAGACGTCGTCCGGGTGGTAGACGCCAATCGCGTAGTCGATTACGTCGACGTTGTTCGATTAATGGACATTTTTATAATCGTGAAACTAGTTTTTTCACACCACCTCATGGATCTCAAATGTCTGTTTGGATTACAAGTTTGGTAAATACTCAAGAAGTTATTAATCTCATGTTAGATAAATATAAAGTTGATGCGAAGCCAGATAATTTTGCATTGTTTGTAGTCCGTGATAATGGTGGTAAGTAAAATTATTTTAAAATTATAAATCATTTTATTAATCTTTGTTTTACAAAGATAATTTTTTTTTATAGAACAAAGAAGATTAAGAGACGACGAATATCCGTTGGAGGTTCGCGTAGTATTAGGTCCACATGAAAATGTCGCGCGACTTTTTTTAGTGGATAAATTGTCGACTCCAGAAATTAGTTCTGATGTTGCACAATTTCTTAATCTTTCTTTAGCAGAATGTCACGGTATTTTACAGCGTTATCATTACGAAGAGGAGCGTCAGATTCTTTTATTGAAAGAAAAGTATGATTTTTCAAAGTTGTACATAAGTTTTAATTTCAAATTCTCTTTTCAAATATTTAAATCATATTTATTTAAAAAATCTTAATCATTTATATTTTTATACTAATTGATAATATATATATATGTGTGTATTTTTGAATAAATTGTATTGTATTAATTAGTGAAAATTAATTAAAGAAAAATATATTAAATTATATATTTTTTTGTTTTAATTTTTAGATATAAGGAGATGCGAAGAAGAATACGGCAAAGAATGGAAGAATTGAAGGTTCGACTATAATTAGTATGTATTCATAATGAACATTCAAATATCTACATCATTATTTTTCTATTAATTTGCACTCGAAGATTTTTCTTTTTTTTTAATATAAATTATTTGATAGAAAATGTGTTATCGTAATCGTTTTAAAGATATGTATTGCACAGTACATAATCTTTAACTTTAATAATCTTAATCTTTTAATTTTTTATTGTTTATTTTAACATTCAAACGTAGAGTCATTCTATATGCAATTATGATTGCAAATTTTGTATAATTTTTTTGAATGATTCATTATTGGAAAAATGATTTACGTTTGAATATATCGAATGATAACATTTAATATATCGAATGATAACATATTAATATTTTTTAGCTTAAAGTCTTATCGTTACATTATTCAAATGTATTCATTATTTTTGCATCTTTGTTGCATTTATTTGTAGTCGTTAATGTGCAGCTACTATCAAAACATTCAGTGCAATTTAATTAGAAATTCAGTGTATCTAAATGATATATATATATTGTATTTTTTAAGTCGACTGTGCATCGAGCGATAGTCATACAGTCACGAATCATTCTTTAACGCAATATCTTCTAAATTGCTATTCGCTAATTGTTGTATTATGTATAGCACTTAATTTGAACTTCTAACATTGAAAATGAAATTATTGTAATTTAAAGTCGATTAAGTATCCATGTAGTACACAAACATCGATATTAAGTCAATTTTCCAATGACTTTTAATATCGATACAATGAGAAATATTTTATAGAAAACTGTTTGCAAATTAGATGTATAATTGTTAAAATCTAATGCAAGGCTGTCCAACTTTTTACCTCGTGAGGTTTTTCTAAATTTTTTTTTCACATAGGTGCCAAAAAAAAAAAAGAAAAAAAAAGAAAAAAAAAGAAAAAAAAATTGAAAAAGAAGAGAAAATATTATATATTAAACAATAAATGGAAATAGAATTTTAACGAAGGAATTGTTGAATTTAAATGAAAATATTAAAAAAAGCAGAATGTTTTAAATATATATATATATATCGTCCAGATGAAAATGACTATAAACAATTGTACCTTGAACAAT